GGCAAATTTTATTTTAATCAATTATTTCCCAAACGGCAAGCCAAGTAAAAGTTTTTAAAATCGTTTCTTTACAAACAAGTTCTGAGTTTTAAATGAACTAGGCTAATAGCCGATATCCGCCCGTAACTTGCATCTGACCACTCTTAGCTTTACCGTCGACCCCTAGATGAACGGCGTATGAACAAAATGCAATCTCTCCGCCGCCCGCTTCAAAGATAAAAAAGATGCACTTTGTTCCACTCTTACCACTAACAAAATGAGGTTCAATTTCGCTTGGCTCAGCTTTAATAATGTTGGTTTCGTTTGAGATTTTAAAATGTATGTAGTGAATAAAGGTTTTTTTAGGTTATCAAATGGACACTAGACCATTGAGCTAGACTGTTTTGGTGAGTCCACTTAACCTGTGTTTGTTTTGATCCTATAAAGATTGTTTTGTTTGGGATATTTTGGTGGCTTTTGGGTCAAAGCGGCTTTAGGTCAGAGGATGTTTGTACAACTAAAGTCAAAATATGAATTGAGTGCACAGGTTGTTCAATAGAGGTTATAATATATGAACATTTACAGTGAAAACTATTGCTACACTATAGGTAGTACTATTATTTTTTATAATAATTATCATGAGACATACTAAATTAACTAAAAATCACTACATTTACAATGTTAAATGTAGTGTAGGCTGTGTGACATCGCCGTGACCGCGCACGCTGCTCATGAGAATGAACCTCTCTGTGGTTCGAAACTAGTAGAGCTTTTCTCAGTATATTCACGTGAATAACCCGCGATTTTTATTTAATTTAGTCCTATTACTGTCTGCGCCTTCTTCGATTGGAAATAAAAGAAGGCTATTTTTGTACGGCAGAGAAGAAAATATTAGTTACCACTCTTATTCTTCCAGTGAGTGTTGCAAGATAACCAACCAAGGGACCACAATATTTAAGAGTAACCAACCAAACAGCAAATCTCTCTGGTAAACTTGAGGTCACCTGCATAGAGACTTTTTTTTATGGAATAGGAGGCAAACGATGGACGCCCATGGACACCTGCAACACCAGAAGAGTCACAGGTGCATTGCCGGCCTTTTAAAAAGGAATAGGTACGCTCTTTTCTTAAAGGTTTGAAGGTCGTATCGGATCGGAAATACCGCCGACGACCCGGAGGTTTAAGACGCCCACTTCTCATGCAACGTGCGTTTGAAACGTACCTTACGTGCTTTCTAAGATTATCTAGACACCACTGACAAACGGTGAAAGAAAACAACGCGAGGAAATGTAAGTTTAAATGTCTAATTATAAGTTTTAATTCGCTAACCCGCAATAAGCAAGCATTGCGATTAATGTTCAAACCTTCTCCGTGTGAGAAGAGGCCTTTGGTCAGCAGTGGCCACTAATAGGTTGTTGATGATGATGATGATTATGATTAAATACCAATACGATGATGTCCAACATTTGCTGATGATTCCATCATTCATTGGCATTCGCCAAAAGAACAGAAAAAGAGAGAGAGATAGTGATGCAAGAACTAAAGGTTAGAAGATACGATGTCGGGGCTTTCGTTAGAATATTACCTTTACCATGTTCAAAAGAAGCGGAACTTATTTATGAAATGGTTGGTGCAGCGCTATCCCCCTCGCTTGTTTCGGGAGGTACCTGTGTCTGATGGGGCGGGAGGAAACGCCCGGGTGTCATCACTGCGAGGACCGCCCTGAGGACACGGTGGAACACACCGTAGCGGAATGCCCTGCGTGGGCTGAGCACCGCCGTGCCCTCAGGGAAGTGATCGGCGATGGCGACCTCTCGCGTCCGGGCCTAGTGCAAGCCATGATGCGGAGCGAGGGGGACTGGGATGCCGTCTCCTCCTTTTGCGAAGCAGTCATGCTAGCTAAGGAGGAGGCGGGACGCGTGAGGCAGCGAAGCGCTGCCTCCTCGCAACCCAGCCGTCGCGAAGGACACACCGGGCGTCGGGGATTACGGGACGATCTCCGGCCACCGTAAGCGCGGGCCTGCGGACGGCGAGCATGGGTGGCTCCCCGTCCGACCAGAAACAGACCCGAGCGTACGGCGCGTCGCGTTCCGCGCGCGCCTCAAAGAGCCATCAGACCACCACAGATGGGGCCCAATAGGGCCGATGCCGATTCGGAGTCGCGGAGAACCTAACGGGTAACCGGGGCTCCGGCTCGACGTGCAGGAGAAGGAACGGGGTGGTTTTTAGTCAGTAAGAGTCTGACACTCCCTTCCGCCTCACCCAGGCGGGAGCAGGCATTCGATGATTTTCCCCCTTAAAAAAAATAAAATAAAAAAAAAATCCCCCTCGCTTACAGAAGAATGAGTAAGAGAAGTTAGTAATAAGTATCTATATTAATAATTTCGTCAAGGGGTACGGTAGACTTGATCAAAACATTACCTGAATAACAAAACAAAAAAAAATATCGATTTCGAGTCGACAACTTATATCCGCAAAATTCGGATTACGGAGATTATTTCCTTTTATTATTTCATTTTAATGACACTGACAGACAAAACCGCAGTCGCCATCTTGAGTAGACAATAAAAGTTGCGTTTCATACTAGCTCTCAAATACGCCTCACCAATCAACACGTCGTCGCGTCAAAAAAGTATAAATTAACAGGAAAAATGTGAATAATTTCACGCGAACAAAGTCGCAGGTAACAGCTAGTATAAATATAATTAAATGTAGTTAGTTAAGTTAGATTAGGGTATGGTGAGGCTGACATACCTCTGTAACGGAAAAGCCTCTAAATAAATAAAGACAAAGAAAACCAATACCAATGCTTCCTCAATCACATCGAACATCACCAACTCCACATCACAGCTATTTATAAAACCTCTCGCTCATAACATATCTCTGTTCAGCTCGGAGTGGTCCTATTTACCGATATATAAAAATAAAAAAGCCGTTTTTAAATATTCATAACACATTGTGGGAAACATGGGAATCCACTCTGTATTCGCTGCGTGCATACATGGTCTACTCAAAACCGATTCGTTCATGATTTCGATTATGTAAAGCTGGATAAGATTATAAATAGGGATATTGGTCCTCTATTTATACGAACCGATATGGTTTTTTTTGTGCCCTTAGGCTTAATTCATTCTGTCTCCTGCAGTAATTCTATGTAGAAACCATCGTTATTTTTTTTTCTTCTCCTCTTATAATATCTTCTGATTCACTTCGTTGCGGGAACCAAGACAGTTACTCATGTCCCTGGGACGCGCCGGACATCAGTGTTCCGGTGTTTTTATGGTTGTATCTACTGTAGATCCTGGCTTACAGGAGTTGTAGCGGTTTTGGGAGGTTGGGGCGGGCCTGTCCCAAAAAAAAATACCGTTATGGTTATTGATATTGTAGAATATTGAAATTGGCCAAAGTCTTCGGACGACCGCGAGCTTCATTTTCGAACGACATTTCCAGAACGGAAGCAATCAAACCAATAACAGGTGTTGCGTTGGTTTGTAGTGTTAGCTTCGAAAACATCGTTGATTTTGCGTGCCGCCAGTACCGCGTTGCTGCCACGACGGTACTCATATTCCAAAATTACTCGATTTTTTAACGTATCTATGATGACGAATAAGATTGAAGTGCGATGAAAATGTAACACTAGTCAATTAACAAAGGCCGAATTTCGGAAAGCAAAACATGTTTTTTTAATTAGAATTCTTAGCCAAACAAAAAATATTTTGATTTGAAATGGCCAGTAATTTCAGAACGGCAATTTTATAGGTTTCCTCATATTAGCTGTTCTACTGTTACAAGTCTAATTTGTTTTTTTGCTTCCTTACATTTTAAGTATGGTGACCACAATGCAGAATCATTTCGCCACCACAACCGTTGAAGTGGATGTCATAAAGCCGACTCAGGCAATATATGTATATTTGACAGAAACTGGGTTGTAGTGATTTCCAATTTCAATCCAAACTTCAACACAAATAAATCACCATAATCCAGAATTAAACAGCTGTCACTGGACTTTGATTGTTGGTACTCTATAAATGTAATGAGTTCGGTCAGTGTATTCCAGTTCTTGGAAACATGAAACTTAAAATACTTCTTTTATAAACCATGTATAAAAAAACTGACCTCAATTACAACTCTTTGTGTAAAGTGGTTTAATATCAATATACCAAAACCTTCTCATAAGTTTAACAAACACTTTTCTGGAAACCATATCAAAATACATTCAACCATCATCATCAGCAGCCTATAAATGTCCACTGCTGAACAAAGCCTCTTCTCACACGGAGAAGGTTTGAGCATTAATCACCACGCTTGCTCAATGCGGGTTGACGATTACAAACTTATAATTAGAAATTATAAACCCAGGTTTCCTCACGATGTTTTCCTTCACCGTTTGTCAGTGGTGTCTGAATAATCTTAGAAAGTACGTATAACTCGGAAAAAGTCACATTGGTACTTGTCGTTGGTAGGTTTCGAACCCGCACCCTCATGCATGAGAAGTGGGCGTCTTAAACCTCCGGGCCACCACACATCGCGCACAAATAGGTACAATGTATACAAACAGGTCAAACTGACACCCTCTTTTTTTGAAGTCGGTTATTAATTCTTATCCACATTCACACAATCCATGTCTGAATAAGTACAGCCTGGCGCACATTGACTGCTAGATGCAATACATTACGCCTGCAAGCATTGGTTTGTTAAGAATTCTTCACTTCACTGCATCACTCTTTTCCTGTTCTTGTGAGCTGAATATTACATTTATTCATGAATATTGTCATTTCTACTTGATTGCACAAATTGACACAAGACATCGTTATGTTATAAATATGGAAATGTGTGTGTTTGGAAGTTGGTGACATTCTTTCAATGTTAGACGATACTATACTACGATGGTAGACAATATCTGCTTCTAGCGCGCTAAAAATTAGTCTATGTGTGTTAATTTAGATTATGTGTCTCTTTGCTTTTGTCTGTAATTATCTTTTTTATGGCATAAGCCGGTAAACGAGCAGACGGATCACCTGATGGTAAGCAATCGGCGTCGCCCATGGACACCTGGAACACCAGAGGCGTTACAAGTGCGTTACCGGCCTTTTGGGGATTAGGAGTTTGAGGATCGTTGGGGATTCAGGAATTGGGGAGATTGGGGAATGGGAGGGTAATTGGGCCTCCGGTAACCACACTCACACGACGAAACACAACGCAAGCGTTGCTTCACGTCGGTTTTCTGTGAGGCCGTGGTATCACTCCCGTCGAGCCGGCCCATTCGTGCCGAAGCATGGCTCTCCCACACTTATACTGTCTGTACTGACAATCCAATTTAATTTCAGTAAGATTTTGGCTCACCCGCAAAAAGCTTTATACATATAGGAAGGAGTGAATCTTTGCTCTGGAGTAGGATGAACATGACTGAAAATAAATAAATAATAATATTTTGGTTGAGACTTAAACTGATACTCTTAGGGTCCGTCCACAACTGATGAATGTGGCGCGAGCCCCTCGCGCGCCGACTGCGAGCCGCCCGCACGCGTGCAGCCCGCGAGCAGCCCGCAAATGGCTCGCAATCAGCACATTTGCGGAACATCTTGCTTATTCCTTTCTCAAATTTTATAAAAAAGAAAAACAGAAACAAAAGACTATCAAGTTTAAAACATTTCAAAATCTTGATAGGTAATCTTCAAAATCTTGTAATTATAATGACTTTAGTCGCCATTCTACATTAAACACGTATAAACAACTAACAGCAGCCTAATAGATCGAGGTGTTTGCTAGTTGCCAACAAGCAATGTCCTTATCGAGTCGGAAGACGTCACGACCTCCAATCAACCTGTTGATTGGCCCTTAAGTGGCAGACGCTGTATCTACTGAGTGCCGTACTATTGCCAGATAATTACCAAGCCTGAGATGTGTGGCTTATACAGTGAGATTAGTTTTGTTCTAGAATGAACCAGATATGTATATGGGTTTAAAGCAAGAATTGGTTAGTTTTTGGAAGTTGATAGAGAAGGTACGAAATATAATTCATTTATATTTCGTTATTCGTACGTGATTATAAGTGAACTTATTTTCAAATTAAATTTTAAATATTTTTTTTTTAATCTTTAAAATCAAATGAAAATCGGGTAAGAGATCGCAGTTTAAAAAGTTCTTTGTTATAGTTGTTTGTTTTTTTTTTTGATGACGGGGGGAAACCTTCAAAAGGCGCCCAGCCTTTTTGGGGATAAAAGACTAGGGAGTGTGGGATTTTTACCTCACTAAAACCACCCCGGTGGCCACCCTCAACACCTGAATGGAGGCACCGGGTCCTCTATAATTGTCAATAAATTATCTTGCGTTTATACAAAAAAGGATCAATTCAGCCTAGTACCACTTTTAAAAATAAACAACCAAGCACAAGAACCTCTATTATAACAAATGTAGGTACTTTTCCGATTACAAGTCTAGTTGTAAATAAAACTGGTTGCCGCAACATTGTCGTGGAGAATAAATACAGTGACATTGTTTGGAGACGACCCAAACAGGTTACGTCGCGTGTTGACAGCTCAAGGTCAGGGGTGACACGCCTACAGAGAGTAGGGTTGCCCCGACAGCTACCCAAATGAGAAAAGTTAAAGGAAGTTAATAACATGTACGGAATGTGAGAGGAAAAATCGGTTACCCTCAAAACTATATTCGAATGACTATTTGGAAGTTGAACGCGTGAATGATTTTTTGGAGTTGTAATAAATTGGTATTGGAATCAGGCGAGAAATGATACCAAAGGAGGGTGAAATTTTGTGTTTACAATCACCAGGGTTTCAATTTTAGTATATGTACAGTATCTAATATGGGCAAATTGAACATTATGTACTAAAACATAAGGAATAGATTTTTTTAAGAGACCAGTCGGTAAACTATCTTCTGGATCACCTGATGGCAAGCAATCGCCGCCGCTCACGGACACCTACAACATCAAAGGGGTGTGGCGCGAAACGAAGTGTGTTACTGGCTTTTTAGGAACTGAGAATTTTAGGATTGTGGGGGATTCGGGGATCGGGGAGACTGGCGAGGGGGTGATTGGGCCTCCGGTAACCTTACTCCCACGACGAAACACAACGCAAGCGTTGTTTTACGTCGATTTTTTGTGAGACTGTGGTATCGCTATCGGTCGAACAGGCCCATTCGTGCCAAAGCATGGCTCTCCCACACTTATAAAAGAAGTAGTAGTAGGAAAATAATGATGTCCCACACCATCTATTTAGAGTAGGTAATCCTTTTTATGGCAGATATGTTATATAATCCACTGTTCAAAAGGAAGTTAATCTCACTCAACATCATATAATATCTTCCTAAAGTCATCCATTTATTACTTTAAGATTTACATATTACTCATTTTCCTAAATTTCAACAAATCTAAAAAAATATGAAATTGTTCTTCTGCCAACCCTAGCTAGGTTGAAATCAAAGTCTCGAGCCTGTAAACCGCAAATCGTATTGCGTTAGCGGAACATAAAAGGTAACTACAAAATATTAGGGTTGTAATACTTGTTGAAATTGTTACTATAAGTATAATGGCAGTATTGTAGGCCCAGGGTTATTTGATACTTTTATAGATAATAATATTACGTACTTTGAGCTTATTTAGTAATTCTCTGAAACTGTGTTTAGTATACTTTTGTTTGGTTAATGTTTTTTGAAGTTAGTGAAAGTACCGCCATACACCGTACATTTGTCGCGGTGAACCTAACGGGTTACCGTGGTTGGTTTTTAGTCAATAAGAGTCTGACACTCCTTCCCGCCTCACCCAGGTGGGAGCAGTCGTTCGATGATATTCCCCCCTTAAAAATAAATAAAAATAAAACACCGTACATTTTTTGTACGGTGTACATACACAATGTTTATTTACCATTCTTTATTATGGCATTAGAAGTGCTTAACGGTACTTATCTAATCACTAACAGCTTCGTAGCGCTACTTATACTCACAAATTTTAAATGCTTGTCTCTTAAGTCAAGCCCTTTCTTAGGGTTTCTACCATTAACGCCGCGGATAACTTAACAGGTTACCGGAGTTCCGACTCGTAGGGCAGGAGTAGCAATGCGGTGATTTTTAGTCAATAAGAGTCTGACACTCCCTCGCCTCACCCAGGCGGGAGAAGTCATTCGATCGATGATTATCCCCTTAAAAAAAATACCATGAAGCATGGCCCACTTAAGTACTTACCTCAGGCATAGTAGGGTAAAAGCCAGACATAAGAAATAGTTACTTTAGCAACTATCTATAGTAACGATTTGACAAAACTTATACAACACTCAAAATATCCATACCCTAAAAAGACGTCTCATTTTCCACTAGGTACGATAATATCTCACGGCGTAATATTGGAGCGAAATTATTATTTACTTCGTTAGCGTCTTCCTATTTATTTCGAAGCGATGCTACTAATATCAATATTGATAAAGTTAAAAGGTACGGACCGGAATATAGGTCACGATATTGTCCTTTCATACAATTTTGTAGAACCTAAGTATTGTTTAATTTCTTATTGTGGTTTTCACATAATTTTCTTCTTAGTAATAAGCCACTTATTTTTATGGCTTTAGTTGACGTTTTCTATGCTTATTGCAATACTATTATGATACGAATCAATTCTATGATAATTTTTCATATTTTTTGTATGTCCATTCAAAAGAAAACTTATTTTTTCGTCCGCGTACAATAATGACATTTGGCAGTATTTATGCTTTTGAATTAGTCTTTATCAAGGGATATTCTGCGGTAACGGATGTCGTCAGAATTGAGTAAGTACCTAGTATAGGGCTCCTCCCCCGGAGATGATAGCGTGATAATATGTAGCCTATATTTTAGTTAGTTAGTTGACCCGACCTGTAAGTAATGTTCATGCAAAATTTGAAATAAATCCATCCAGTGCTTTTTGAAATCATCCCGGACGTACAGACAGACAGACAAACAAATAATGATTCCAAAAACCATATTATATTTGGCTTCGATATCAATAGTAAATCACGCCCCACGTATTCTTTTCAAAAGTTTTAAATGTACAGTTTTGACTTATCTACGATTTTACTATGTGTATAGACATAGATTCTACAATCAATTTAAATGACATACCAGTTATTAGCTACTACCCAGATGGGAGGCAGGTATGCTAACAAGTCGTTGTCATAAATCGTGAAGTTGATGATCGTATGAGCCGTAAAAAATCTTTTAGTAACAAAATTATGAACAAAATAAGAAGTGGATAGTAATATTTGCAGCTAAACTCGAGACGCTGTGGCCGCTGCGGTGTGTACCACAATGGTATTAAAGTTAAGCGGGACGATACTCCAAGTTATAAGACGATAGCAAGGTCATTAACATGGAAAATGTTGGACAGACTAGCTAAAGCTAAAGCTAAAGCATGCTGTAATGTAGTCCTTCTGAATAGCGTCAATAGTCCGTAAGACATTAACATAACATCACACCTTTTTATCCCAGAAGAGGTAGGCAGAGGGACGTTACGGCACTTAATGCCACTATAGAGGTACAATGTAACACCCACTTTTCACTATTTATGTTATGAGTCCCATGTAATAGGGGGTGAGCCTATTGCCATATACCGGCCACATTTCCCGACTTCGTGCTACTTTTTTAAAAACCCAGTAATACTTTTCCCGACCCGGGAATCAAACCCGAGACCCCTTGCCCAGCAGTCGCACTTGCGACCACTCGGCAAACGAGGCAGTCCGTAATCCGTAAGAGTCCACTGTAAATCAAATTCAAAGCATTTATTTCAATTCAAACATAATTTGGTACTTTTAAAACGTCTTCAAATACAAGTAGGACTATTGATCTCCTCAACATTAGAGGGTTTGTCATAATCTACACGTTTGGCAAGCGGATTCTATCTTTAACCGACTGAAATTAGCGAAGGATTTGCCTTGAACAATTTCCTATTGGCAGGCAAAGCTTTAAGAGGTGTTTTTGTTTCGTATCTTATGTGGTTACTAGCGACCCGCCCCGGCTTCGTATGGGTGCAATATACATGTATTATACATATAAAATAAATAAAATAAAAAATAAAAAAAAATAAAAAATAAAAAAGCCT